ATCGGTGGGAGGTAGATATTTTATACTTCCTGTGATCAAACGCTCCAACGCCAAGCATACGAAAGGACCACAATCCCCTCTGGTTCCTTTCGTTTGTTGTGGAGCGGTCTCGTCTCTGCTAACTGTAATATTGATCTTCTTTGGCTTCTTGTTTCCAGAACGAGTCCAATAATTTATTGCATCCAAGAATTTAGCCAAATGAGAGTTCCATCCCTTAATAATATCTCTTAAATCAGCCAATGATATGTAATTTATCATGCTGTCATATACTATTGCCTTAAGGGATGGGAGCTGAAGCTCGACGAGAAGCCAATGTTTACGTTCCAAAACAGGGATAAACACCTGCAATCATAAGTAATAATTCATTCATTGAGCATTTATTTATGAATACCTTTAAACTCAATCTAAATAAATACTAACTTATCGACCTCCCACCATGCAGGATAAAGTTTAGCTTGTCCATTGCCCAACGCAAATGATCATCTCGTTGATTCTTCAAGTGAACGGCGTTAAAAGATGTCGGCATAATTGTATATCGTGTATTTCTTTTATTTTCCTTAAGTTTCCTAATTATTAGAAGACGTGACACCCATGCATCGATATGCTGTTTTACAAAAAAAGACATATATTAGTAACTTACATAAATTTAAAAAAAATAATCAAATTGAAATATAAAAAAATATAAACTTACCCCTCCATCGAAATAGCCATTATCTTCGACCCCTAATATGCCCCACCAAGACCGATCAAGCAACAAATAGATATCATCGTTGAGCTTGCATACGTCAGTGAAACACCCGGCTCCGCTCATGTAGATAAAAATCAACTGCGTCTTAGCCCAAAGGGTGTTATCCAGAATTGTCCGGTAGTTGTCTCCTCTCCACTTCAGATACCGGTATGGTACTGGCCGTAACTCATACGAGAGCCAACTCTCATCCATCATGTCCGGCACGTCAAGGGTTTCTCAAGAATCTTACATATGATGCCATGTGAATCGGGTTCTCGAATGGTGGGATGGACCTCTTCAACGATGACAGTGGCCTCTTGAACGGTGGGAGGGGACTCTCGAGGAATGATAGGGGCCTCTTCAACGATAGGAGTGGACTCTTGAAGGATGATAGGCGAGTCGGGCTTCTTCTTACGGTGTCTTCGCACTATTGGGGTGTACGGAGACTTAATAGCACGTACACGCCGTCTGATGCGTGAACTCTGTCGTGCAAGAAAACTCGACGTAAAGCATCCACCTTATCGGGCCGCTAAATAATTAAATACAAAATCAGTAAATAAACATATGATATTTAAACAGTGAAAACAAAGACAAATATGTTTCAAACTTGCATTGAATTCACCCAAGTCATTATTCTATCATAGTTCACAAAAATGCATCAGATAACAAAGGCAAATATGTTTCAAACTTGCAACACTGTCAACTTAGTATTTGTCTTTGTCTATTGGTTGAAGTAATGCAATTCATTCAAGTTTCAATTTGCAGAAGAATAATAGTTTCTGGAACTTAAAATCGCAACGAGAGAATCACAACGCGAAATAAAAATCGCAACGAGAGAATCGCAATGCGAAATTAAAATCGCAACGCGATTATAGTTTCGCGTTGCAATTTTTGGTTTCGCGTTGCGATTTTCTTCTCTCGTTGCGATTTTCGTTTCGCGTTGCGATTTTTATTCTCTCGTTGTGATTTTCATTTCAACCAAAAGACAAAACAGTGTTACTAAAATATAGTTTCAAGAATAAATTATTTCTTCTTCTTCTGCAAATTGAAACTTGAATGGATTGCATTACTTCAACCAAAAGACAAAACAAAGACAATACTAACTTCAGAGTATTAAAGAATACACAGTTTAGCAGAATTGGCAGCAAACGAACAAATTTACTTTCAACCAAAAGATAAAACAAAGACAAATACTAACTTCACAGTGTTAAAGAATACACAGTTTAGCAGAATTAGCAGCAACCGAACAAATTTACTTTCAACCAAAAGACAAAACAAAGACAAATACTAACTTCACAGTGTTAAAGAATACACAGTTTAGCAGATTGGCAGCAAACGAATAAATTTACTTCAACCAAAAGACAAAACAAAAACAAATACTAACTTCACAGTGTTAATAAACAGTTAGCAGTATTGGCAGCAACCGAATAAATTTACTAAGCAATCTAAGTGAAATGGTTAATCTAAGTGAAATTACGAGTAAATTTATCATCAAGTTAAATATGGAAAATCTTAAACTTACCTCGTTGCGTAGAGTATGAACTCATTCTGCAACGATACTACCATCACGTAGAGCGGCAACCTCACCACGTAAAGTAGACACCTCCACACGTATGCACCATCGTTAGCGTAGAGTACCGATCTCCTCACGCAAAGCATTGACCTCATCACGTAACTCCCTTGACTCATCCCGTGGAGGTGGAGGTGGAGAACAGGGAGATAGAAGTCGTGGCATCTTTGTCGGTCGCCTATCATGAGGTGATGGTGGAGAAGAGGCTCGATGATACGGGATAGGTGATGGCTCTCGTTGTAGAAGTGTATAGTCGGGTCAATCAGGTGATGGCTCTGGGTGAGGTGATGGCTCTCGAAGTTGAGGAAGTGGAGGCTGCTCATCATTCGTGTCATCAAGAAAACGATGACTAGCTTGCCACCAATCAGTGGCAAGCTCAGCCTCCGTGGGTGTCAGTCTCATTAATGGAGTGTTGGCCTCCTAAAAATATAAAAAAAACTCAAACAAAGTTAAACGTCTACTATTAATAACTTGTTTATATATGATAGTATTTGTGTTAACTTACATTATTTATTGTCGCATATGGTATTAAGTCTTCCCAATCCAACAAATGTTTCCTCTTCCAGGAAATAGCCCTAGGAATATCATTTGAAGTTTTTAATGCATATGTCCGCATGCTGGGGAAAGCCTCGAATATCCAAATCTACAAACAATATAATAACAAACATTAGTAATTTTAAATAATTAATTATAATTTTGAAAACATATATAGAAATTCTTACCTTAAAGGCCCGAACAAAGCCTGACAAGTGTATTTCGACCCATCGCCACGCAAACTTTTGCGGTCATCAAAGGCAGACGACAACTTAGTCCAGGTAGCTTTCCATATATACGAACCCCACGGAAACAGATTCCATGCATTTAGGTCCTCTACCAATAATATTAGCTCCTGAGGAATAGGTTGTCTGGCCTCTCTGCCTAAAACGCCGGCATAAAAAAGTAGTAGAAGGCATACTCGGACAACATCGACGTCATTCATCCGAGTAAAACCATCTTTCTTATTAAACAATTTCTTCAAGTCGTCGACGTGTAAGTTCGACTTCTCTATTGACTCATCAGGAAAAACCCTGGATAACCATGATGGGCGGGTGATATGACGAGTGTACCGGCCTACATCATCGTGTCCGAATCGTAGACCAGTGATTAAGCAGAACTCCTTCCACCCAAAACAAGTATACGCCGGTGGAAAATGAAACCATATCTCTTCCTCACCACGTTGTATACTGCCGGGTAGATCGCTAGTCATGGTCTGAAGCCACAAATGGGTCAAATTAGCATCTCCACCCGGATGCTGTACTCTCAGCCATGGCCCGAAGCAGGTTTCCTCAAACAATTTTCTTTGTGCAGGTGAAAGCTTCGAAGAAATTGTAGTGGCTAGGCTAACTTTATTCCTTAATGTCAATGAAGCCGAAAAAAATTTCTACAAAAACAATAAACATACAAATTAGATATAACCAAAAACTATACTGTGAAGATATACCAAAAACAATAAACATAAATAGTAGTTTATTCTTGAAACTAAAATTTGCAACATTGGTTTGTCTTTTGGTTGAAATGAAAATCGTAACGAGAGAATGAAATTCGCAACGCGGAAATGACTATCGATACGAGAGAATCGCAACGCGAAATAAAAATCGCAACGAGAGAATCGCAATGTGAAATGAAAATCGCAATGCGATTTTGGTTTCGCGTTGCGATTTTCATTTCGCGTTGCGATAGTCATTTCCGCGTTGCGATTTTCATTCTCGAAACTATTCTTCTTCTGCATTACTTCAACCAAAAGACAAAACAAAGACAAATACTAACTTCACAGGGTTAAAGACTAAACAGTTTAGCAGTATTGGCAGCAATCGAATGAATTTAATAAGAAATTTAAGTGAAATGGTTAATCTATTATTGAAATTACCAGTAAACTTATCATCAATTTCAATATGAAAAACCTAAAATAATGCAAAATTTTCAAAATAAAAATAATTTAAAAAAACTAACCCTCGGAGGTTGATTTTCCATTTCTGAATGATTGTGAGGGATTTCTGACCGTGAATGGTTGTGAGGGATTTCGCCGGCGATGGGGACGGAAATCTTCGGAAATGGGGACGGATTTCGCCGTAGAGAGTGAGAGATGGAGATGGGACTGAGTGTTGTGATTTTAGGTTTGAGGTTATAAGTTGCGATTACTATGGACGGTTCAATTTCCGATATATTAAGAAATTCGTGTTTGGAATTTGAAAAAAAAATACGCGTTAATACGAATGGCGCTATGTAAATCGCATTGCGATAGTCAGATTCGAATTGCGATTTACGTATTCGCATTGCGATTTTCCTAATTTGCATTGCGATTTACGTAATCGCGTTGCGATTTACGTATTCGCATTGTGAATTAGGAAAATCGCAACGCGAATTTGGAAATCGTAATGCGATAGTCAGAATCGCGTTGCGAATCTGGAAACTGATTTGCGATACCGGAGATCGCGTTGCGAATTATCGATCGCATTGCGATTTAGTTGGTCATTTTGGCAAATCCAAAAAAAATTGGTTAAAATCGTATATTATAAGACATTTTTTGTCACTGAGATTATTTTCTCCTTCTTAAAATCTAAATAATTTATTACTTACAATAATATATATTATATTTAATAATCATAATCCAAAAAAAATTAGCAAACACACATATATATAGCTCTGTTACTTACTATGAAATAGCAAATATATTTGGAGTGGAAAAAGAGGAGGAAGAAGAAGAAGCAAGATGAGCAGAATAGGAACTGGTTACGATCTCTCCGTCACCACTTTCTCTCCTGACGGCAGCATTTTCCAGATCGAGTACGCCGCCAAAGCAGTCGACAACAGCGGGTCCGCTCTTCTTTTTCCTATATGTAGCTTTAGGGTGTCGGAAACCTAATTTTGTTTTCACAAAAGTATTTTTCTTGTTGCAGAACTGTGATTGGAATAAAATGTAAAGATGGGATCGTAATGGTAATGCTTTTTTTTTCCTTTTTCCTTAATTGCCTATTTTGAATCAAAAAAGAAGAAAAAACAGCAGCAAATACGGACTAAAGTTTACGGAGTTGAAAAGCTGATAGCATCAAAGATGATGTTGCCCGGTTCTAATCGAAGAATCCACTCCGTTCATCACTATTCCGGCATGGTATTCACTATTTCTTCCCTCTTTTACCTCAGCTTCAACTTTGTTTCGAAGGAAGTTTTACCCCATTTTTTATGCTAATGTTTTGAGTTCTGACTTTCTCTTTCACTGGTATTCTATATTCTAATTTAGGCGGTGGCCGGATTAGCGGCTGACGGCAGGCAAATTGTGGCCCGTGCTAAATCTGAAGCTACTAATTACCAAAGGATTTTCCTTTTGTTTTCCGTTTGAAATAAATTTCCACAGTTCATATTTAACTATACCTGTTATGTTTTTACTTTTTATCTAATTAAGGGTTTCATTTGTTGGTGGTTCTGAAGTGTATACGGTGAACCCATTCCTGTCAAAGAACTTGCTGAACGTGTTACGAGTTATGTGCATTTATGCACCCTTTACTGGTGGCTCAGGCCTTTTGGCTGTGGGATAAGTCTCGGTGGTTATGAGATGGTCCCCAATTATATATGGTTGAACCGTCTGCCATCTCCTATGTTAGTTAATTTCTCTCGATTAGAGTTCCATGTTTTTCTTTGTTTGCTGATATTCAGTTCATTAGTATTATTTCTATTCGCTGCTTGTTCTCGACTTACGTCTCCTTGTTTGTTGCATCTCGTGTTGTAATTAATGTAGCGATACTTTGGTGCTGCAATTGGGAAGGGAAAACAAGCTGCGAAAACGTAAGTTATAAAACTATTTGTTTGTCCTGTGAAACTTGAAGGAATTCATTTTCATCTCGACTTACAATAATGCAGATTGCTAGTGCAAAAGACTCCAATCCCATGTATGGTGTTGTTACTTGCTATGGTCGTATATAGGAGATATGGGAACTTGATTATCGCATAATCACTGTTCCTGTTTTCATGTGTGATTGGGTTGATAGTCGTGGAATTAAAAAAGATGATTTTGGATTCAAAGTGGTTAACTTTGCTAAGCTTGATCACCAATATGAACGCTTCATATTAGATAGTCAAGCCAAACAAGTTTTTTATGTTCAAGATCAATAAGATGCGAATTTGTCTGTTGTCGGCTTCACACCACATAAGATGTACAAGTATGGAGCAAATGGTGAAATTGATGATATGTTGGAATACCATGCTACTTTTGATTTTTCACAAGACTCCCCTTTAGTAGAACTTGATGATGATTTCTTGTGTACACGCCCGGATGGCGAGGGCATATTAGTTTAAAATATTGTGTGCAAAATAAAATCTTTAATTTTTGGTATGTTTTTATTTCAACATCTGTTTGTTATTAATTCTGTCCCAATTGCAAGAAATAGCAATGTACTAACTTTTTTTATTTAAATCATGTTAAAACAGGTTCTACTTAGTACCATGGAATCGGATCAGTCTTCGAGTCATGATGAAGACTCTAAATAAAGAGGTCCGACAATAAAGGGAAAAACTACTAAAGGAAAAGTTATCGTTACTTACAATAAAAAGGGTGTTCCGATTGGCGTTGAAGCAACGAAACTTGCTTCCTTTGAGGGCATGGTAGCAAGATCAATGGTGCCTATCACTTATGCCACTTGGCGAGATGTTGAACAAAAAAAAAACTTATGGCAATATATTTTGGTAAGTCTAGCATCTGATCTTAACTTCTAATTATCTTTTTTTTGTTAAAAATAATATTTATTAATTAATGCTTTATGTTTCAGATGAATTTTGAACTTGATCCAAGGAGTCGGAAGAACACCCTTCAATCCATTGGGATAAAGTGGAAGAACTTTAAGCATCATATGTATAAGAAATTCATTGAGAAGTTTAAGAATGACCCTAATACAAATCTGCTCAACCCTTCAGATATGTATCCTTATTTGAAGAAAGATAACTGGAAGGTTTTTGTATCACAAATACTTTCAAAGAAGTGGGAGGTTAGTTAAAATTTTCGTGTCTGTATTTGTTATATATATTAGTTTTAGAAACCAGTCTTGATTGTTTTAATGTTTCTAATGCAGGAAACAAGTAAGAAAGCTAAAAAAATGCGTGGACATCATAGATACAATAATCGGTTGAGTAGAAAAGAATATGTTGGACTAACTCTTGAGATTGTATGTAGTAAATTAATTGAATAGTTTAGATATGCATTTGTTTATGTTAATTCATTGTTGTTATTCTTTTTAATTTAGATGCAAGAAACGAGAAAGGAGGAAGACGAGATTTGTGGAAAAAGGCAAGACAAATGAAAAAATGAGGTTATGACCCGAATGTCCAGATTATTGTTGATAAAATGGTAAGTTCCTGTGAACATTCCTACTTTATTTATTTTCTACTTATTGTTATAGCACCAAGTTAGTATATATATGTCTTTTTATTTCAAACTACTTTATTTATTTCCATACTTGTAATAATCTTATTATTCTGATTAAAATAAAATCAAGTAAATATTAAGAACTCTTGGGTTCTCCCTTGTTGAATCAATAATAAGAATCAGATTAGTTCTAGCAAACCTGGTCAAATGTGAATCTGTTGGCTACACGTTTGATGGTGGCAGCATCAACTGCATCAATTTTGGCAAATAATTCAGTAAACTGAATTCTTGGCCCATAAGTAAGTAGCTGCAACAACAAAAAAAACAGTCAACTACAAATAAGTCTTCATCATGCCATCAATTACTATAAAGTATTATGAACAATGAAAAAGAGAAAATCATAAAAACGTCTTCATCATGCCATCAATTACTATAAACTATTATGAACAATAGTTCCACCTCAATATACACAGAATCTGACGGATCACCTGTGATAAGTAAGAAAAAATAGGTCCTGTGATGCAATGGTATGTTGCATTCATTCCATAGTTGTATTATTTTCTTTCTTTGCTCCTCAAACACCAAAGACCACTCTTTGGTTAAAAAGAAAACGGATCAAAATCACCCAAAGTATGCCATCATGGAGTTGTGATTGGTTCATAAAGTAATTTTAAGAAAACAGTGCAGAATAAGTTGAAATACTCACCAAAATCAGCGCATTAGCCTTCAGGATATATGCTATTATAGAATTATTTTTAAAGTTCATAAACTGCTCAGCGTCCTTCAATGCAAGCTGAATAAACAAACATCAAACTTTTAAAAATGATAGGATCATCTAGTTTGATATTATGAGCTTTAATCCTTTGACTTTTTTGAATATGAATATTTGCTTTCACTACAGGAAGAGATGCAGAACTCAGAAGCTTTAGGAAAGGTTACTTGTGGAACAAATGACATGCTTACCCAAGCCCTAGGTACCCAGGAACAACGTGGGCGTGTACGAGGGATGGGAAATTTTGTAAGGCCACACTTATACTTTTACTTACCTAACCGTGAAGAACTACTTATATGGTGAGAAGAAAAAGAATGAAAAAAGGTTCAACAAAATTGAAGGTGCAATAGAGAAATTACAAAAATGGATGAATCATGCTTCTGAATGCGCAAGTTGCCAAGGGTGGGAAAAAGCATATTTTGAAGACAACCCACCCGAGGAATTACTTGTAAGTCTTTTTAAATTATAGTATGAATTAAATGTAAGTCTTGACTACAACCAATATTATATATTTGTAGGATACTTCTTGTTATCTTGCGATTGATATTGCCTCCAATATAGTTGCCAAAGGAACGATAGTGAAACACAATTTATCAGGTATTACAAAAAAATATCAATTTTCTTTTTTCATTTTAGTACTCTTTGATAGTTAATTATATACTTCACTTTAAATAAGTATAAATTATATACTTATTTCATATATTTTACTTAGGTTGGAGATGGGAAGGAAGAATACACGGATGATGACATTGATAATATTCGCAAAGAATGGGTATCTTATGTAGCAAACTTTATTATGATGTGATATTTTGTATCGACATTTTATTACAATATTTTTGATAACTTAAGTTAATATATTGTATGAAAATGGATTTTATATATAATATGATATATTTAGTATTATGAGGCATTAAATGTGATTTAGTTTGATTATTTGTCAATCTACAATATATATATATATATATATATATATATATAATTTACGACATACAATCACGATACACGAATGTGTGTCATCTTTTTTAATGATGTGTGCTTCAATGACACGCAATGTAAGTCGTAAATGTAAGTCATAAATGTGTGTCATAAATTTATGACACAAATGTATGTCATCTTCATTTATGACGGGGGCTTCAATGATGCACAATGTTGGTCATAAATGCGCGTCATAGATTTATGACTCAATTGCGTGTCATCTGAGATTTATGACGGTAGATTCAATGAAGTGCATTTGTGTGTCATCTGCACCCATAGATGACGCGCAATGCGCGCCATTAAAGGGGTTTTTTCTAGTAGTGAGTTGAGTTAGAAGTGTATTACCTTGAATCCTAAGCTGTTGAAAGCTCATTCAACTCAACCAATGGTGAGCTTCTCCTTTCCCTTACACTTGGAGCTTTCTCTAACCTCTCTCACTAGAAAAGAATTAAACACATGGATCACTAACATGTTTGGGAGCTTAGAAGAGTATTAAAAGAACTTCCTAAGACTGAAATTTTTCAAAAACAAACTGGATAGCCAAAGTTCTCAAACCCCCTATAAAACCCATATTTGGCTACCAAGGTGAAATAAGGAGATTGAAGGCTCTAATTTAAGCTTTAGAGATGGAGGTTTCGATTCTTACATTTAAAATGCCAAATTTAGATTGCAAGGCCACAAAGGTGTCACCTTTGAATAGCTTACTAAGGAAGAGGGTGAAGGCTTTGGGAGAGGAATAAGACAAAGTGAATGGGGAGAAAAATGAGAACAAAATGTGAGATTATCAAGCCATTAAGGGGCTTCAGCTTTTAAAATTCTTAATTGTGTAATTACTCTTTTAGTTATTCACCCTTCATCCAAATATAAAAATACCTCCTTTTAGTATCAATGGGCCCAAACCAAGCCCAATTGGACTAAGTTTCTTGCAAGGCTAATGAGTTCATCTAAAGCACTCTCGAATAGCTTGAACTCCTAACCTAGGATTTCGAGTGTCACACATTGTATGTGAATTGACAGTTATTGGTACAATTGGCATGCCATGAGATGGAGTGATTCTGTTTCTAGTGTTTTTGTGTACATCTGTTTGGCACTATATGTGCATTATGAAATTCATGATGTTTTGACGTCGTGAATTTCCATATCCGATTTCTGATTTGTATAGTGATGTGTTCTACATTACCTATATTTTTGTCTGGCACTAAGAGTGCAATTTATTTCTTGTAGTTGCGACTGCATATAGCAAATTGAAGTAAACACATCAAAATTAAATATCTAGACATAACATATTATAGAAAAGAAAGTGTTCATTAGCATATTAGCATTGATCATTTGTTAATTGATCGTGTGATTAAAGGCATAACACCACATAAATTTAAGGATTATGTGGTCATTATAAGACTTGTTCTTATTTTATAAACTTTCGTGAACAGTGTAATAAAATTCTATTAAATTTGATGTTTCTCATTTTTTTTGGTAAGTAAAGGATGTTTCTCATATTTAATTGTATACACATTCATTTGATTATTTTAAGAAATATCACTATAGTTTGAACCTAGGAAAACGTTAGTGAATTGTGTGAAAATAGGCAAAATGGTTTCATAAATAACTTTCATAGGTGATAATGGTCATGAGTTGGGGGTTTTATATGGGGATCCACTTCTGTACGTGCTAAGGTATCTAAGCACACAAAAATTCATTTTCGTACAGTTAAATTCAATGACGGCTGACATGTTTACCAGTAGTCTTGTGTGTTTGATAGTAATATAATCATATTTTAGATTTTGACATTCAATTCAGGTAATGACAGATATTTATGTTCGATCTTCTCGTTGTATCATAAATAGATGTAAGTAAAACAATCCATCAATACATCTAAAAATCTATGGCAGATGGAACCATAAGAACATGGAAAAGAAAAGGAAACATAATTCGTCCATCAATTTCTTAAATGGACAAAGCATATCTTAGGCTGACGAAAGGTGACTCCACCATTGCCAGTACCAGGAACAATGTCAATATCAAGCTTGGGACAATCAGTCTTTAAATCATAATCCCATCCCAATATACCTGTTCTATACGAAACCCTCAATTCCATCCCCACAACAAAGCTCATTATCCCCTTCTCTTCATCTTCCTTCATACCCTCCAACACCCAATCATCAACGTATGGTTGTTCTTCCCCACACTGAGCATTGTTGAACTGCATTTCCACCAGCCTCTGCTTCTTTGGTCCCAAGTGAATTGCCTCCACTACAGCACACGAAATAGGGTAACTGCGATTGTAATACAGTGAACTCTCGAAGCTGTGTATGGACATCTCTAATACGCTGTTGCGGTTCGCGAATAACACTGATAAGTCCCATCTTGTACGAGTCAAGAAGCATGATACGTTAAGGCCGGACATCGAGATAGAATGGATTTTGAGTATCAACGGCTGCTGGTGCGGCTTCGGAGCGTATTTTGATGCCATGGTGATTCCAATTATCAAGATGATCATACCGGTGACTGTGCCAAGTATTGTAAGAGCCAACTGTAAGTTGCTTGAATGTGACTTTGGTTCCCCATTGGCCATAATTTTCTTTTTTCCTGCAGGAGACATCAATACAAGGCTAATTATTAAACCCCTTCTCTAGAAACTTAAAAAGGATATCAAAATTCAATAAATTTTCCATTAAATTACCTTGGCAGTTGACAATGGAGAAGCTATTATATGATCCTACGAAGAACTGTTCCTTTTTTTTTTCTTTTTTTGAAGTTAGAAGAGGAAATGGTTTTAGTTTTGATGGTGTTCAGCGATATAGAAATTACAATGCTCAATTATTAAATGGGAATGCATTGACGGTTTTAGCGTCTCTTTTGATTCAAAGTGAGCAGTCTTTAAGAAACGACGCAAGTTTTGGTAAGAAGTCTACAACTACAAATGGGGCTTTTTTTTTTCCTTTTTCTTATTTTATTTATACTTTAACTAGCCATCGTCAATATAAAAAGTAGCGGCAAAGACAAGTTAAAACTAAGTGGCTCTGGGTTTGATCCCAGTACGAACTCAAATTTCTCCGGCGCTTGCTCATATTCGCCACTCCTTCCTCAGAAAACGGAAAAGGAAGAAAATGCGATTTGGATAGAAACTGGAAGAGAAGTGAAGCATCAACAAACCAAAAGTAAAGTTGTGATGTTACCTGCATAGTTGCAAACCTTCATGGAGATCCATTTCTCTCTTCATTCTTTTCTTTCCTTTTTCCTCGTATAGTTTTGCCACCGACATTACAGAGGCGTCATAATACACAGAAAAAAAATATCTTAATATAAAATTTTACAATGATAAAAGACACATACGAATTAGATTTAAATATGTTAGAATCTAATACAAAATAAGTGTTCGCCATAGAATTCGTAAGATTTGAAAGAAATCTAGATGATCTCTTAATCAAAGGGTTAAGAAGAAAAAATAGCTTTTGATTCGTCGAGGGGATCAGATATTAGGTCTAATAATTGAGAAATTCACGATGGATACTCAATCCAGATATTTAAGTTCAATGAGATCAAACAAAATAATGAAAAGATATGTTGTACAATATTTTATATCATTATAGAGTATTGTGCATATTTGATATTGAGCCTTTAATATATTAATAAATTTATAATCCATAGTTTAGTTAGTCCTAATGAGGTAGATCTGATGAATTTATCGACGAGGGGTTGAGCTTCTCATGTCACTTGATGAATTTAGAGGTTATGATGTAGGTGGCCATAATAAGGCATAATAAATAACCCTGATGGTGCTCTTTCTGAATAGGGTGCCATAATTGCTCACTACTTTGTCTTTTCATAAAAAATGGGAAACCACAGAAAGCATAAAAAGCAAAAGTGCTTTGAATTCAAAGGAGCTTTAAATGTTCTGCCATTGCTACATCAAAAATGATACAAGGATGGCAAAACATCTTTTCATGGCAAATCACATGCACGCAAAATGGAAGATTGAAGGTGACTAAATCCAGTCCCTAGGAAACCCCATCTCTGGAGGAAGATGATAATAGTAACCCTCTTGTTTCACAATACCTACCCCTTTCATGGCCTTCATCTCTCGGCTAGCTTGAATCTCCTGTGATTGTCTATTTCTCAGACCTGTCATAGCATTACACACACATATACGTATAATAAGGATGTATAGAGGAGAGCCATGAAGAATCAAGAGATTACAGCAACTCAGCATTGTTGATCCACCATGTGTAAATGAAGCAATATCCAAAATACGTGGAACCCTTGGGAAAAATATAACATACGCACGACACGTACCGTATTCAAAACTCACAAGCCGATGTCCAAGTTACAAATAAATCTTTGCATTAAATGGGATTTCATCTATCTTTACTTTGTTTTTAATAGCCTAATAATTTGTCAAACCAGTAAAACTGTAACATATATACAAAGACAACATTTACTTGTACTTTCATGCTGAAAATTTTCTCATAAAAGTGTTTCACTGCAAAAAATGAAACAAAAACACTACACCATCAGTGCAGCAAACAACTGTTGAAGAAAACCACATGTTTCAATGCCAAAAGTCAGAACCCAAACACAAAATTTTTAAAAAAAACAAAGATTTTCATCTTCAATACCAAAATGGATAATATACTTTTAACACTAAAAACACCCAAAAATGTCATTTTTTTATAAACAGAATATACCAAGAAAAGGGAAAGAAATTTTACCTTGCTTCTTTCCGGAATCAAAAGTAGGGTTAAGAACACGAGGATGAAAAACTCCGGTGCCTCCAGACGTTCTCACCAAACCACCACCCAACCCGTACTTATTATTATTAAAACCATTTGCTTGAAATGACAAATCCCGGTTTGAAAAAGCCGGTTTTGTTGCCTTTGCAGAACCCTAGCCCTGACTTCAACGTGGCTCTTGACCTACAAAAATAAATAATAGCATACATCATTACTGCAAAAAGAAGAAAAAAGGTTAAGAACACTGAAATGTGAAAACACCGTTCATGGCATAAAACCCGAAACCTTTCAAGTACCTGAGCTTGAGTTGGTTTCACGAACTGACATTCATAAACCGATTTGGTCCATCCAAGAAACGAACCGTTTCTGAAACCGTAAAAGCTTTGACCCGCTTCCCAACCACTCCTATTAACCGTACCGTAACAAACCGGTTCTTGAAGCCTCTGCAAAGGGGGAGTAAGAAAGCAAGAAATCAAGAGGAAAAAAGAGATGCCTGCAAGAGAAAATGTAAAGGGTTTAGAAAAGAACCTCAAAGTTGATAGCTTTGGTTAGTTTTTGGTGATGCTTAGGAAGTTTAAGGGCGGCGAAACGAGAAGCTAAGTCTTCCATGCAAGAGGAAGGGAGACGAGGGGAGTTATGGTGGTGAAGGCGGGGCTTGATTTTGGAAGGGACTTCGTTGAGGAAAATATCAGAAGGGAGCCAGAGTTAACCATCATCCAAATTTGGAGGAAAGTTACGGAACTCATTCGCCATTGTTTGGTGTTTTGGGACAAAAGGGAAGTCGTAAAGAGAGATTCTGCTTTTGTTTTCTGGGTGGGAAGTGTAGTAAAGGGGGCAATTTGTTTTTTCAAAATGACGTTACTGTTTCTCTGCTTAAAGATGGATAGAGATATAGTCATATAGATGTCAAAGATTAGGGGTAAACAACATTGTGGTCTCTTTTGTTTTAAGCACGTCAGATTTTGCTTATAGATTTTAAAAATTTATAATTTAGTCACTTATGTTATCAATTTATTATGTTTTAGTCACTCATCCATTAATTTTCTTGAGTCCAGGGTAGAGGTACTAAATGAATTGAGTATCTCGAATTCGACTTGGTTAAAACTCGATCAAAGCTCAACTCAAACTATAGTTCGATTTGAGACCTTAAGGAGTTAAATCGAGCAAAGCCCAACTCGACTCAATAAGCTCACGAGCAGCTCGTTAATCTCTTTAAAAAATTTAAAAATTTAGATTAAGCTTTAAAAAAAATTAATGTTGTTAATTAAACCCATCCCATAATTTTTAAAAATCCTCATTAAGTCTCAAAATTTTCAAAACTTTTAGTTACACCCCCAATTTTTTTTAAAATGTAAATTGAACCTACAAAATGTTTAAAATTTTTAATTTAAACCTCTAAATTTTTTAAAATTTTAAATTAGCCTCTAAATCTATCAGTTTCATGTCACTATATGTGTTCAATAACAAAAGTCATACTTAACTTTTTTGGGCAAATTTGGCCCTATGGGTTTTTTATTTAGTCCAATAGGGTAAATAGAAATTTATTTTGGAATCTATGATATTTTCTATAGTGATATGAAATTCTTCACGTCAAGATGACGAGTTTCAATAAAAAATATTTTTTATTCAAAATTTTTACCTTGATGTGATCAATTTTAATAAAAAAATTATATTTTATTAGAACTCATCACCTCGAGATAATGAGTTTAGATAAGAAATATTTTTTATTGAAACTCATCGATCTCAACGTAATGAAATTCCATGAACACAGTAGAATTATCTCAAAATAAACTTCTTGTTGCCCTATTTTCTCAAATAATTTACCCGTTTTCCCTATTGCAAAAAAAAAACCCCAATTTTTGTCCATGCGGCAACACCTCCAAGAGCTCCGCACTGTTGGTAGACAGAAAACAAAGAATTGGAAAACTTGTCTTAATATTAGAATTGATGTTGTGTTGGGTTTTTGAAAATTGTATTTGATTTTTTCGTTAGGAAAGCAGCTGGAGGAATCTGGCTGGAGTGTTGAATGAGTCAGTCAGGTGGAGGAGTAAAATTGTTGGGGTTTGCATATGGCATTAGTGTGTCCACGGCGCTGTTGTGGTTTATGCTTGGAAACCACAGCTTGCAGCCCAGGCTGGTACATCCGCTGTTGGCCGGACTAGGTTCGTACTCAGTTAGTCAATAGATGTTTGATATAGTAGAATTCAACCTAATCAATGCCTTAAGAAGTTGATATCATTTGTTGCAATATCATATGAATTTTATCTGACTATTATTATGCATAAGATTTCAATCTTACAACAAATTAAAGAATCCTGCAGTGGTATTTTCTGATAGTATTATGATATATTACATCTGTCTAACTTGAATGGTGAATATTTTAAGGTACAGATTGAAATGGATGTGTGACTAGTGACGAAGATGCAAGTTTATTGGTAAAATTTTAAGTCTTACTAGATTCTAACATGGTGTAATATGCAATAGACTTGATTCACTGATTACTAAATTCCTCAAAAGTAACTACTTGTTTTAGTCGGTGTTGCTAGCTTGCACCAGTCCAAGTCTGAATGAATAAGGACAAAAGATTTGAACCAAGCTCCTAACGCATTGGCTAACTACAGTGTTGGGCCACATATATAATTGCGAAGGAGTTGCTTTGAATACAGAAAGAAATATTTACTACGTTATCATTTTTCAACTTAATGTACATTGCTCATGGAATGCACTCTAGTGTGGTGCTATTTTCTTGCATTTCAATTCAATATCATCGTCTTTTTGTTGCAACATTGTACTAACGTATAGTGAGTTATTTTACTTAGTTTCCCTTCAGGTAGAAGATAATCAAGATAACCTTAGTGATTGTAGAACATTAGCTGATATTTTGACTAACATGGAGAAAGACATGTCAAATCTGAAAGTTTTGCCTTCTGAAAGACTGGATTGGCTGAAAAGATCTTCGTCATTGCCTGCTTAGGCGAATGATAATACCATGGAAGCACCAAAACATAATTTTCACAGCTCAAGTATACTTAGACCAGAACCCCAGAATGTTGTTGCTATGGACAAGATTTCTGTAATTGAGCTGTTTTTTCCAGAGCCACAGTCTCATTGCAACCAGCTGGTTCAACAGATCCAGATCCGGATGAGGTAATCTTTTCACAAGATGTGAGTGCTTCTTATTCTCTTCTTTTAAATTCATTATGGTATTAAACTTTTGGTTTGCAGGACCATGAGAGAGGCAAATGGTGCTTATATTGTATGATTCGTGAAGCTTATCATATTAGATGTGGTAGTTGAGTTAAATTGCTTTACATAGTAAAGATTTTTTTGTTAGTATCTTTTGATATATGTATTGCTGCATAGAAGCAGAGGCAAATGAAGTGCATAATCATGGCTCAAATGCTTTTCGGAACTAATTAATCTTGTTCAAACTTGGTATCACCTTTTATCTGTGTCGGCTTGAGCTTGTTCATGAGTCTTCTACAACAGACTATAGGCAAAGCTTTGATGCTATAAAAATTAAATACCAAAT